GTTTGGGGGTCACACAGGATGTGCTGGAGTGGGCTGTGGGGCTGAGAGGGTGTTTGGGGGTCACACAGGATGTGCTGGAGTGGGCTGTGGGGCTGTGTGGGGGTCACAGCAGACTCTGTCGTTGTGAATGTGCTTTGGAGAGGCTGGGGAGCTTTGGGGGCTGCTCTGAGGGTGTTTGGGGGCAGCACCTTGTGTGAGCTGATGGGGCCATCTGTGGGAGTGGGGATGCTGCCACCTTTGTAGTGTTTGCTTGCCAAGGGGGTCTTTGGAGTGTCTCCTACACTCTGTTTGCTGGGGGGCTGGGACTGTTATCCCTAGGTTAGCACGGCTGCCTCGTGTCCCTGCCTCGTGTCTCTGCCGTGTTCCTGGGCTGTGTGTGAGGCTGGGACTGTGCCCAGTGCCCTGTGCTGTGCCCACCACCCCCAGAATGGAACCAGTCTCCCCTTGGGGTGCTGCTTGGTCACACACCACCCTCCTACACGTGTTGTGGGGCTGTAGGCTGACGCAGTGTTAGTCTTAAACATGTTTTTAGGCTTGAGCTTCCTTTCCTCCTTCCTTTCTGGCCCCACTGTGCTTTGAAAGGAGCAGGAATTTCTAAGGAGTTTTCCCCTAAATGGGTGAGACCTCAGCCCACCTCTGCTCATAGGCACATTTTTGTGTCAGCTGTGATCCTTCCTGTCTCTGTTCTGCCATCTCAGTGATCTGAGGCCCTTCAGGGCAGGGATGATAATAATGCAGTCTTGGGTATGAGGTTTAATAGGACCAAGGTCCAGGTGCTGCCTCAGGGTCAGGTCAACCTCCAGTATCAATCCGGGCTGGGAATGAAGAGCTGGAGAACAGCTCTGGTAGAAGGATTTGGGCAAGAGTTGCTTGGACATTCCCAAATGGCATGGACTGGTCACATGTGTTGGACCCAGAACCCCCAGAGCCCTGGGCTGATCCCCCAGTGTGGGCAGCATTGGAGGGGGGATTCTCCCCCTCTGCCCTGCTCAGGTGAGACCCCACCTGCAGAGCTGCCTCCAGCCCTGGGGTCCAGCACAGGCAGGACATGAAGCTGTTGGAGGAGGCCACTGAGAAGATCAAAGGGTTGGAGCAGCTCTGCTGTGAGGAAAGGCTGAGACTTGGGATTGTTCAGGCTGGAAAAGAGAATGTTTGGGGTGACTGTATTGTGGCCGTCCAGGAAGCTGAAGAGAGCCTGCAGAAAGATGGAGAAAAACTGTTTAAAAGGGCCTGGAGTAACAGGACAAGGGGGAAGGGCTTCACCCTGACAGTAGATTTAGATGGGATATTGGGAAAAAATTCCTCCCTGTGAGGGTGGGGAGGTGCTGGCACAGGTGCCCAGAGAAACTGTGGCTGCCCCTGGATCCCTGGAAGTGTCCAAGGCCAGGCTGGATGGGGCTTGGAACAACCTGGGCTAGTGGAAGGTGTCCCTGCCATGGAAGGGGCTGGAACAGGATGAGCTTTAAGATCTCTTCCCACTCAAACAATTCTGGGATTCTGTAAACCTGGGAGATTGAGAATCTCTGTAGGGAGAGTGTTTAGGGTTGCTGCAACCCAAATCGTGTTGTAGCTGTAGGTGATGGCTTTAAGGCAGAAAGTTCACCTGTGCTCCCTGTGAGAGCCTTATCCTCACGTCAGTCCCAGTCCTTGCTGCTGGCGTTGGCAGCAGTCACACACAGCTCCTTGGAAGGAAGTTGTGTCTGGGAATCAACGGGATCCCTGAGCTTTCCCTGTTCAGGTGTGTCCTTGTTTACCCTGTGCGGGGCCTGAGAGGCTGCACTGCTCACAGTCACCTGGCTGTGAGGGTTATAAATACCTCAGTGCTCAGTTCTCAGAAGTGTTTTCAGTGAGCTGAGCATCAAAACATTGAATTGTTTGGGTCAGGAGCTGTGGGTTAGTGTGTAGGCACAGCTGCTTGTGAGACTTATTATTTTCCAGACTGGATTTCCATGTGCCTTTATTATTATTCTGTTTAGGGAAGCAGTCACCTTTTGCTAAAATAAATACACTGTTTATAGCATAACTCTGTATTTACATCACTAACAAATGCTCTTCTGCAAAGCAGCCTGTACAACGGTTGTCTTTATTTTCCATAATAACATCCATGTTCTGATCTTAGGGCTGAAATGCAGCAGCTTATGTAAACCAGGGGAAGCCTGTGCAGAATCCCATGTCTAGACTTACTTTACCTTATCTTAAAGCAATTAAGGACAGATAAAAGTAAGTTCTGCTGTCATGAAAATAGGCATGTGCTGATTTGTTGGTGTTTGTTTCATGACAGGCTAATTTGCAGCACGTAAAATGCTTTTTGATATCTTTTGATGCTGTCCTGTGCTGCCAGAATTAAAGGGGATGAGTGTTGTGTTTGATTTGGGCTTGAAAGGAATGATCTTTATGGTAGGAGTTCATTACATCATTTTATTTTGGGGGAGCTTTCTGTTTTGTATTTATTCTGTATAAGTGAGTGGAGCTCAGTGAGCTCAGTCAAGCTGCAGGGGCAGCTGGAAGGAGTTGTAGATGAAAGAAGCAAACTGGTTATTTCTATCCTTCTTAACAGTGGTGAGAACCAAGTAGCAGAAGTCATTTGAGCTGTTGGATGTAATGTGCATGTACCTGCAGACAGAGAAAATAGATTTGGGGTTTTCTTGGGGTTGTTAATTTTCTGGAAAGGTTTTGAGACAGTTCTTGGAGTGGCAGATAAGATAGTAATTCCAGAAGCCTCATCACTGGTTGTGCTAACAGAAATGTATTGTCTAAGATCCATCTAGAGTTGTTGGATGTGTCCAATATAAAATCACTCTAAGTTACCCTTTGTTTTCCTGTGCTCTAGAGTGTTCCTTACCTGAGCTCTGCACACCAGTAATCAATATATGCGTCCCCAAAGTATTTTTAATCATCAGGCTTGAGAAACTCTCTTACTTCATCTGATTTGATCATAAATCTGATCTTACCTCAGTCTCTTTGAAATACCTTCATGTTCTGGCATGCTCAGTCCTGCCTTCTCAGAATCCAGGAGGTTTCATAACCACTTGCTTGCAGTTTTCTGTTCAGGATAGTGTAACATTTTTTGTGTGGTGACTCGGTCTGTCTTTACAGGTCACAAGAAGTAAGAATCATCATCTCATTTCATTAGTTGATGCTTTCAGCCCTGAGTTTGGGCCGTGCCAGGATGTGTTTGTCACTCAACCTCATCTTGAACTCATTCCACGTACCCATGACAGACAGCCAAGTGTTTAGTTCACTGTGTAATAGTGCACCCAGGAGAATCAAAGTATAATATTGTTTAAAAGTCTTGCTATTAATTCTACTTAAACACCTGAAAAGCCATAAGCAGAACATTTGGATGTAGAGATAAGTAAATAAGATTTCACCCTGTGTAATGAATTTGCTGTAAGGCTCCAGTGCTGTAGTTAACAACACCTTTGTCCCCCTTTGCCAAAAGCTGTGATCACCAAGGGTCATCAGCCAGGCACTGGGACTGGATTAATAATTGCATCACAGAGCTGCAGAGTCTGTTTGGAAAGTCACTGCACAATGAAAGTCCAACTCAGCAGCCAAATAACTGGGGGAAGGAGCCTTGCAGCACTCCTGAAATAGCACCTGTGAGCTCTCCTTGCTGCCTGTGCTTGCCAAAGCCACTGTTGAGAATTCTTCCTCCTCCTAGAAAGTCAAATCCTGCCCAGTAAATGCAAAGTGAGTCTTCTGAAAGCTTCAGCTTGGGATGGACTCTGGAACTTCTGTATTCTGCTTGGCGATCCTAGAGGAGTATGTGGATAATGAGCTCTTTCTTTACAGGAAAAGTGCTGAGTTGGTGCCTGCTGATAAAGGTCACTTGAGCTGTCTAAAAGATCTCCTGATTTTTAAATTAGTTTCTTAATTAAAAGTGAATTTAGCCAGGGGATTATAGTATTACTGGATAATTTAACCTACATCCAGACAAGCAGCACAATAAACACTTTTTCTGTGGAGGAAAATGCAAAAAGATGGGGAGCTATCAGCATTTTTTTCTTCACTTTATTAATAAATAGCATAACTAGAGCTAATGTAGAGTTTAGAAATTACCAATTTGGTGTCATTTACATTTTTCTAGAAACGGTGTGATTGCAGTATCTGGCTTTTGGAGACCTGGCCTGGCTGCTGATGAAAGCCACTCTGATTTCAGGTTTCTGATCCCAATATCCCCTCCCATTCCAACATGACAGTTGGGTAGCACTGCTGGACCATCTTTGCCAAGGTTGGTACAATTTTGGGTGTCTGGCTTTTGGATGGCCTTGCCACATTAATTGTTCACTGAACAGCCTCCCTGTTCTGAGCCATGACAGTGCAGGAAAGCTGTAATCCAGGTAGTGGGGAGGGGATGTGTTTTGGGTGTTACAGGGCAATAATTACAGGTGCTGAAGTAGCTAAAGTCCTGGGACCTGCCTTCCCTGGGTTATTCCATCTGTTTTCACAACCATTTCTCCTCTTGTGTCTTGCTCCAGTTCTGATTTGCACTCACAATGTGTCCTCCAGCCTCAGCAGAGACTTCACTGGCCCCTGTGGGCTTTGGATCCACTTTTTGGAGCACAAAAGAGCACTAAGGACTTTTGAAGGGCAGCTGGACCATAAGCACAGGCCTAAAATTGAGAAGGAAAATCAATGTGTGTTAGTCTTGGAAGCAGCATTGAACATGGGCTGTAGTTGCTGAAGCTCAACATTCAATAATTCCTTCTGCAATTTGTGATTGGTTTTTTCTTGTTGCCCTCAGAACAACCTCAAGTGTGTTTTGTGCAGCTATTAAAAATTGTGTTAATCCATGGATTGCTCCTGGGAGCAGGAATGTGCAACCATTGCTTTGGTTTTGCTACTGAACACACAAATATAGAAATACCCTTGTGAACTATAAAATGTGACAATGTTATGTATCCCACTGTGAGAGTGCCTGAGAATTGCTCGGCTTTTACTGCGAGAATAGAAAGCTGCCTGAGATTCAATACAGAAGTAGCCAAAAGAACCAATAAAAAAGAGGTGATGGAAATGGACTAAAGACAGAAAAATGAGAGTACAGCTCAGTATCATATCTAACTCTGCAATTTGTGGACAAATAGTCTAGAGTGTATTAGTCAGTCCTGCTTTCAGTGGCAGCAGCATTTCCAAGAACTGGGGAATGAATGCATTTCCCAAGCAGCTCCCATAAAACAGTGCTATGTCCCTGACCTGTGCTGGGTGTCAGAGTTTAGTCCATTGAATCAGGAAGTTTTCAGAAGGAAGCAGAGCTCGGCAGCCATAAAAACAGGAGAAGTGACCCTTGTGACAGCAGTGAGAGGTGGTGTGTAAGTGATTGCTTCTGCCACGTGGTTCATATGCAAAGTTTTGGCTACGAAGCTTTGCAAAACAGATGAGGAAGATGTAAACAACAACAAGGCCATGTTTAATAAAAGAGGGGTTTTCAATAAATGTAATTCCTGGACTAGAAAGCATAGGTGAGTGCCTTGGAGCCCAGCGCTGTGGCTTGCTGTGCTGGGACAGTCACGTTTCCTGAAATAAGCCTGTGAGTCCATGTGATGCCACTGGATGTCCTGTGAACTGCCAGGATTAAGCATCTGCCCCAGCCTGAGCGATATGCTCAGTTTAATAACCATGCACATTATTTTTTTTTCTAAGTGGTGCCTGTTTTATAACTGAATGACTGCAATTCTCAGGTTATTCTGGTAACTTGGATAAATTGGAGTGAGAGGTCCACAAAAGATGTGAGTTTGGAAAAGGAGGAAGAGAACAAGTGATGGCAGCAGCAGCAGAGTTTCTGGATGGACTGGAGATGAGCACAGTGGATTTTCTGAGTCCCTCAGTTCATGTGCTCAGTATCATCTGCTAGTTCAACATGACTGGCACAAATAATGGAGAAAAATAGAATAAGGAAGGTTTAACCTCCGTGAAAGTGAGCTCATTTCTTCTTTCTCTGGGCAAGTGGATTAAAAATCATGGTGTTACATAATCTCTACCCACAGAAGAGCTTCCGTCTGTCTGGAATGTTATCTGCTGTGGCAGTTGGTGGTTATGAATGAGTTCCCTAATCCATTGACGGAAATGTTCCAGCAGGCACTTGCAGACTTCCCTGTAGTCTAATGCTTGCTGAGAAGCCCTTAGTCAGGTGTCAGGGGCTGATACAGCCTCAGGAGATGGACATGTACATAGCAAAGGCCTTTAAACTGATAGGGGTTGTGGAAAAAAAGACTTTACCGCCTGTGCTGGGAAAGGAATCTAGCTAAGGAATAAAAAAAAATAGAGATTATTAAAATCTCAGGTTTTGATTTGATTTGCAGTTAAAAGTTGATCTCTTAAATCCATGGAGTTTCATATATATGAGCACAACCTAGCCTTTTTTCTATAGGATCTAATTTTTCTTTTTCCTTTCCTTACAAAAATGAAAAATCATAAGATTATTCAGTCATGTGCAAATCAGATTATTCAGATATATTTGAGAAATGATTCACCTTTAATATGAAGCACCTAAAGACCATAAGGTTTTGCCCATATCCAGGCTTTGCTGGGATCCATCCTAAGCATGTGTAAATTAGCTAATTAGTTTGAGTCTCTTGGGACAGGCAGGTTTTAGCTTTTATTCTAAATGCTGCTGATCTCTGGAGTCAGCTGTGCTGCCCATTGATTTCAGAGCTCCCTTTGAGCACGGTCGAATGCATCGATTTGGATGCTGCTCTAATGGAGAACGATATTGATCCATGAGCATTTCTTGGCACGTGGCAGAGGAGCTTTCTCATTCCCAGCATTCTCTCCTGTTTCACATCCAGTAATGGGGCTGGAGCGTCTCTGCCCCTGTCCCAGCTCAGGCTCAGGGTGATTCTGTGCTGAGATGTGCTGGGTGGGGTGGGAAAGGCACTGTGACAGCTCTGTCACTGCTCCTGCTGTTCTGGGGTGGAAGTCTCCTCACAGGGCTGAACAAGGTGGCTCTCAGAAAGACCAGAATGAGTTTCTTTGATGCAAGGAGCTGTGTTCACGTGCAGTTTTGCTCTCGGGCCCAAGGAGTGATAAACAACTGGGTTAGATTAGGTCAGCAGGGATGCTCTGCACAAGATACTGAAGTGAAACCAGTCTAATGATTTCTGTTACCTTGTGCTGGCTGAGCAAGGGGGAAGCTGGGCTTGTGTATTGATAATTACAAAGCTGTGGAGAGCTTTGTGCATTAGTGCTGTGCTATATCTATGTGGTGTCCTGTCTGTCAAATGGCCCTATTACAAAATGTTCTTTGCCAAGATCATGGGCTTCTCTTTTTTAAAGTTGGTTTTGAAAATCAATTGTTTTCAGTAAATTGGTTAATACGCCATGGCTGTGGCACCTCTGTGTGTCTTGACTTTGTGCTGTTAAGTCATTCCAAGAGCATTTTAAAGGTGTTATGAACAGCTATGGGAAATGCCACTTCACCACTTGGAGAATAGAATGATTGCATTTCTGAGAGATGAAATAATTCTTAGTGCAAAAAATAGAGTGTTCTCCAGCCTCTCACCCTGTGTTCTGCAGACACTTAGTGCTGTCTTTAATTAGAAGGCTGTCACAGCTGAAGTAAAAATAACAACTCAAAACAAAACCTCCTGTGAACCAGACTGAGAGCTGTGAGCCTTAAAGGCTTTATTTCTGGAGCAGCTGGAGCCCTGACAAGGAGCATTCCAGCCCCTCATGCTGCCCAGGACGTGTCTGGCACACGGGGCTGGAGATGTTCCCCTACTGGGACTTCTGCTTATGGGAGAGGTGCTCCAGGTTCAGCAGGAAGAGGTGATTGATGTCTTGTGTCTTCAGCCAGACTGACAAAAGCCACCTCATTTCATGCAGGCCATGTTAAGAGCTCTAAAATGTCACAGTGTGGTCACCTCTGGCCAGGACTGAATTGAAATCCTTGGGTTGGAGGGATCTGCTTTTGGGACATTTATAGACCCTTTAATTAGCAAGCTCTGCAGGAAATTCTGTCTTCTTGTTAAGGATTTATTAAAATCACACATAAGCTCTACTGCCGAAATATGCTAATTAATTTGAGATTCTCTTGGATTATTCAGCAGGAGAGTGAATATTCCTCACAAGGACAGGCTTTGAAGATCATTTCCTTGAAATAAATAATTTTTTTAAATTCCTGGAATTTCTTTTGCATGTTATCTCTGAGAAAGCCATGAAACCAGCTGCCTAGAATATTGCTGGGTTCTTGCTTGTCAAGGTGAAAACAAGCCAGAGAGGCCTGTTCTGGAATACACTTCAATTTTAGAACTTTACCCTTTCAAGAGTGACCTTATCCAGTACCCAGATGGACACCTTCCACCAGCACAAACACCTCATTATGTGTGTTGAAATAGGCATCTTCTCTGCTTTTTCAGTTTTGTATTTTTTTTTTTTTTTGTGGTATTTCCCTTTTTTTACTCCCTCAAAATATGTCTCCAGTTCCTGGCTAATTTTGCTGTAATGCTGCACTAGCCAAATATTTTTGTGGAAGAATTATTAGTCATAGAAGAAAGAATGTAATGGAATATTCTTAGAAAGTGTTATAACTATGCTTGACATGTAAAATATTTATCCAGGCATGTAAACAAAGCAAGAGATGTCTTGCCAATGTCCCCTTGTAAACCTTGGCTGGTTTGAAATCATGAACTGTTTTTCAGTTCTTGAAAATAAGGTATCAGGTTCTCTGCTGACATGAATTGGCGGAGTGCTAATGGTTGGCCTCACCTAGATGAAATTGTAGCCCCTGCTTTTGCCTTCCTCAAAATAAATCAGAAGGTGTTTTCCAAAGAGCTGTAATTGTGCTAAATAAAACTCCTGTGTTTATTTTGGTTTCGGATTACTCAGTATTACTTGCAGTTACTAATGCAGCTGCACTGTGGAAGGAGCCTTATGTTTGTTTTCCTTTTTCTTATTGTCTGTATCTTAATAAGAATTAAACCACGTGTCTGATTCAGAGAACTCTGTTCTTTCTAAGGACAACACTGATAATGTTCCCTTTGTGCCTCAGGTCAGAGGAGCATCTCTGCCCTTGCAGAGGAGAATTCGGCTGTGGCTGTATCTGAAGAGGCTTCCAGCCCCAGCTGTGGTGAGTGGGGAGGGCAGATAGTGCCCCTGGCAGGGACCCCATGCCAGCCTGAGCCACCCCAGACCTGGGACAAGATTCCCAGTGCTGGGCACTCCTGACTTGTGCCAAGCCTGCTTCTGCCCTTCCACCCTCGACACAAACTGCTGCTGGACCTGCAGTCTGAGCCCCTTCTCAACGCGGCAATATTTCCTTGCAAATTTAATTGCGTGCCATTGCAGCCTCCCTGGGTTTGTTTCTTGGCTTTGCTTTGAGTATTTGCATTGTTATTATTTTGAAAGCTTCTGTGACTGCATCCAACTTTCAAAAATGTGCCACCTATTGTTAGTTTTCCGAGCTGCTGCCATGTAATTGGTTAGAAATGAATGGCAGTTGGAGTTGTAGGGCAGAGTTGTAGCAGATGAGCTGGGAATGAGTGAGCAGTTACTTGTTGGGATCCCTTCCAGAGAAGGAAGGTGGAGTTCTGAGCTGCTCATAGCCTTTCTAAAATAAGAGTCCAAACAAGTAGGTGCTTTTTGCCGTGGGTGAAATGTCAGATAATTTTTTGTAGCAAGCCAAAAGCTCTGTGAATGAGGAAAGGAGTTTTGGTTTAGGATATCATCTCTGCTGAATTTTTAGTTTTTACTTAAATTAATTAAAACTTTTGTCGTTCAAAACACGCTGATAATACTCCAGTGCTTATCTTGAGAGATCTGCAGTGGACAGTTGCTGTGCTAAAAATAAATAGGGTAATTATAAAAGCTAATTCATAAGTTATACATACACGAATTATATATATAAAAATATATATATCCATTCTTTTTCCTGATGATGGCCACCAGCTTCACCTGGTGTGGGACAACACCTCTTGGTGATTAGAGATTCTTGCTGTTTACATTCCCTCAGCCTCTTTACCAGGGCACAGGTGATTTATTACACCTGTATCTGGACAGATGAGAGAATTGGGCATTAAAGAAATAAAATCTTGCTCCCAAACCAAAAGCAATAACAAGTTTTTGCATACAAAAGTTAGTGAATTACTGACTTGGATTTTTTTTTTCTATGTTGTGTTGCTTGGTTTGTTTTTAATTAAGAGCACTCTAAAGGCACCTTTTATTCAGACTTGCCAGGGTACATGTGCCTTATCATTGGCATGAGTCAGGAGGAAAATAGTTTCCTGCCTGTTTAGGTTCTCTTTGCATTAAAAATTATATATTATATGTGATATGTTTAATTCTGTTGTTTTGTGAAATTGTGTTTGGAGCAGTCTCTGAGCAATCCAGCTGTATCCTAGGGGAAAGCAGTAAGAGATAGAATCGATTGATTTAATATTTGAGCTGACAGAGGGTGACATTTCCAGGTGACAGAAACATGTATTGCCTTGGCCATGGCACCAGAGCACTGAGGGAAAGTGGTGCTTCTTATTGAGGCTCTTCAGCAATGCACTGATGTGTCAAAATAACTCATTTTATCCTCAGTTAGTGTACATTTGTTTGGGCCCACGTCCTAGGGCTCCTGGGCTTGGGAATCCACGTGCACATACTTACATACATAACCAAAAATTCTGGTGGCTCATTCCTCTCTGCCTCTCTAAGGGATGTGTGGCAGGAGGGTGTTTTACCAAATGGCATCGAAGGTTTAATAAAAATGAGCCTTTTCTACCACACAATTCCTGCAAAAACAATCCGGATGAGGAATCTGGAGGGAGATATTAAGGAGGCTTTTACTGGAAAGAGGAGACTTTAAGCTGTTAGCACACAGTTTGCATTCAAACTTCCCACGAATCAGCTGCAGGGACTTTTAACCTGAAATATTTACATGAATCAGCCGCCCGGGCTTGGGGGGAGTGACCTGGGCTCGGGGAGTTTAAACTCCGAAGCTTTGCCGTGCCCTGGTGCTTCCCTGTGCTGCGGGAGGATTTCGGGTCGTGGTGCTGGGAGCACCGAGCACGGATGAGCCGGCAGTAAGTGAGGGGTGCTGGGCAGAGGGTTTGCTCCAGAGTTACACCAGGAGATGTGGATGATCAGTTCTGCTCACAACTTCTGGTGCTTGCAGGTGGATCAGATTGTCTCTTAGAGCGCCCTCAGAAATACTCTTGTCCTTATGCTGTTTGCTGTAGTTTATAATTGAAAAACTGGACTTCTTATAATGCAAATGCAGAAATTGGAATTGTGTGAATTTGGAACCAAGTGTGATTTAACTGCCTAAGAACAAAAATTGAAAAATAAAAGGTTTAGTAAATCCAAAGGGATAAGGCAGCTCTTGCTCTTTTTTGCTTTGCTGAAGTGTGTGGGATTTTCTGAAATCTTTATAAATACTTTTGCAGCAAATGGTAGAACAGAGAACACAGCCCAACCTGTCTGCAGCACTTACTTCTGTTGCAGGCTTTCACCTAAGTATTTGTAGCTTAATTTAACACAGGTGAAGAGAAAGTGTAACTCACAGGTGTCACCTTCCTTAAAACTTTATGTAGCTCAGTATTGTTTATTTTTGCAGGGAACATTAGTTTTTCCTGTCTCTGGGTAAAAATATCCTGCTTATATTTGCAGCAGCTCATCTTTTGCCACAGTTTTTTTTCCCTTTTCCCTGATCATATATTCACAATCCAACCTTCTGCCAAGGGAGGTAGGTGTGTATTCTGTATGGGCCAGCTTTATTAGAAGTGCTGAATTTAATCAGACAGCACTGGCAAAGTTGCCATTGCCATAGTGGTAAGAAGGGTTTTATGAGGATCAAATATAATTTTTCAGGTGACTGTCTTTATTCCAATATTGTGAGGAAATACCCTTTACAGTTCACTTGGGTTTGCTCTCTGACATGAATACCTTGGACCTCAGAGGGAGGGAGATAAAAAAGCAGTAACTTGTTGCCCTGGTGAGGAATTTTACTCTCGTGGTGGAACACTGCTGGATGCATTTCATCTGTTCTGTTGATGAGGCTGCCATGGTGTGACCTTCCTATTTTGGGAAAGTCTGTAATAAGTTACACTCAGTTAATAAATATCCATTATTTTTCTGCAGGTTTTAGTCTTGGTGATTGTAAGTTGGCAAAAGAAAAGCTGCTGTGAGTGTGGGGCATTGATGGGGGTCAGTTCAGTGCATAAACTGAGCACTGGTGGTGACAGAAGGACCTGGTGACCCTGGGTCTTAAATCAAGGTGTGCAAGTGCAGTGTTAAACCCTTAAACCCATATTGCCAACTGTAGTTTTGAATTGCATTTGTAGAAACAGTGGATTTTTGTTGAGCCTCAAGTAAATGAGTAAGTCAGTAAACTTTGCTAACAGTGTAGCACTATGCAGAGAATGGGAGAAACAATCAAGCATTTCATCAGCCTCCTTGCTGTCTCTTGCCAACATTTTCAGGCTGTCCTGCATTGCATCAGGCCTGCTGGACATTATTTTCCATTTATCGTTTGAAGCCAGATAGAAAATGAATCCTCTGTATATTAATAGAGTTATTTCATAATAAGGGAAAAGCTTTTTGTCATGTGCCTGTGCTGGTTCAACCTCTAAATCAGATTTTATTGTCTGCTTGTGTTTGTGTTGGGAAAATGAAATGAGGATCAGTAGGAGGTTTGTGAAAAGCACGTGAAAGCTGCAGGTGGATGTTTTTCTCTCTGGTGCAGTCCAGGTGAATGCCTGGAGCATTTTGTTCTCCAGTGCTCCAGGTGTACCTGCAGGTGCCAGGGAGTGAAAACCCCACACCTGCAAAGTCTCACCTTGCCCTGGGCATCTCCATTGGCTCAGGTGCATGGGGCAGTGCTTGGGGCTCAGCCTGGAAGTGGTGGTTTCCCTGGTTGGGAGAGACCTAAGGAGCCAGGCTGGGAGAGCTGAGGTTGTCCAAGCTGGGTGGGAGAAAGCTCCAGGAAGACTTTAGACCCTCTTCCAGGGACCAAAGGGACTAAGAGAGCTGGGAGGGGCTTGGGACAAGAGCCTGGAGTGACAGGACAAAGGGGATGGCTTCCCACTGGCAGAGGGCAGGGATGGATGGGATATCAGGAAGGAATTGTTCCCTGTGAGGGTGGGCAGGCCCTGGCACAGGGTGCCCAGAGCAGCTGTGGCTGCCCCTGGATCCCTGGAAATGTCCAAGGCCAGGCTGGATGGGGCTGGGAGCAACCTGGGATGGTGGAAGTTGTCCCTGCCATGGCAGGGGCTGGCACTGGGGGGGCTTTGAGATCCTTCATAGTTACAGAATGAGCCATCAGGTCAGGTCTAATTTTTAATAGAGGGGAACATTTCACTTTTTGCCTTTATTTCTACTGGATGAGTTCCTGTCACTCTGGAAGTGTGTGAATGCCTCTGTGCCACTTCAAGTTTTTATTGCAGGTGAACTGAGCTGACAGGCAGAATCGTTTGTTTTTTCTCTTTCTCTGGGAAAGTCTTCATCTGATGATCAGAAGCAAATAGTTATTATGAAAATTAGAAGTTGGATTTCTGCCTACTTGCTATGTTCAGATCATATTTGATGGCTACTTTTTTACTTGCCCAATGTTACCCAGCCCAGGGGAGTTCCATTATCTCCATGCTGCATTCCCTGCTGTGGCTTATACCTTTCAGTGATTCCCCTAATCCTTATGTACAGGAAACATTTCTCCTTATTTATCTTAAACCCATGAGATTGCCTTTTTTCTCTCCAAAGTAGAAAGCCAATTGCTAATTTGTTTCTCTGCTTTTATGTTTAGAGATTTTGGAATATTTTAAGGAGACCTTTGAAGAATTTCTGCTGATTTTGTCTGATATAAAGTTAGTTTTCTTCCTAGTAGCTTACAGGGGGCTGTGGTTTGAATTTTTGCTGGAAAAAAGAGGTTGGTAACACAGGGGTGTTTTAGTTATTGCTAAGCAGGGCTCACACAGAGCCAAGGCCTTTTTTGCTCCCCACCCACCAGTGAGCTGGGGGTGAACAGGAGCTGGGGGACACAGCCAGGCCAGCTGTCCCAGGGAGGGGTATTCACTCCTTATGGCATCGTGCTCAGCATTTGGAGCTGGGGGAAGAAGGAACGGGGGGAATGTTAGGAGTCATGCTGTT